TTCTCTCAGACTTGAGCCCCTGCTAAGTTGACTGTCACCCCTTCCCCACTTGCCCCTCAGAAGGCAGATGTAGCCTCATTCCGTGTAGATTAAAAATAACTATAGCAACAAGGAAACAAGTTCATCATCCTGCCATGCTTAGTGTAAAGAAAACAGAAAAATGAAGAGAAACAGAAGTTCTTCACCATTATGCAAAAATGGACCCCTTCTCTTTCGCACATTTAAATACTCTAGCTGCAGGCACACACTAAGCCAGCTAGCTCTGCCTCCAACGGACGAAACCCCCCTGGGTCCCCAGCGGCCCTCCATCTCCCTCTATTTCCTGATTTTCATTTCCTCTGTGAGAGAAAAGCCCCCTCCTTGTTCTGACTCCACACAAGTCCACGGTCAGTAACCAAGCGGGGCAGTGAGGCAGGAAAAGAGGCAGACCTGGAGAGAACAAAGCGACAGAGTGAAGTAATCCCAGGAACTGAAAGGTTTATTTAGGAACAAGGAGGGTGGCTCCTGTGACAGAAAGTAGATCCCAGCACATTTCTGTGCTCTGCGCACAGTGGGTACCCTCAAAACTCTTGTGACAAAAGGCATAGCACAAAGATTCTGTACCTAGATGCCCCCATCCTGCAGCATGGCCTCTGTCCCGAGCTTCTCCAGCTCTTCGCTGCTGTAGCTTCTGGGACACAGCTGGTACTTGGCACGTGGGACTTCCCTCCAAGAGGAGATGCGGTGGTGCCAGAGGCTGCAGAGGCCATAGACAGCGGCCAGCACGATAGCCCCGAAGCCCAGGTGCCAGCAGAAGAAGATGAGGAGGAAGGCGAGGTCGCCAGGGTTTTCTGCCCTCCAGGGCTGCCCGGAGGGAGGAACGTACATCAGCACACACAGCTGCAGCATCCATGTGCTGAGCACCAGCCCCATCCAGGTCTTCAGCACCCAGAGCGTGGGTTGGTCAGGGACCCAGACTTCCATGGTGAGCACCAGGGTAAGCAGGAAGGTGGGCGCCACGAACAGCAGGTGCGTGCGGACCTCCAGGGTGCCCTTGTTCTCCAGGTGACATGCCATCAGCAGGACCAGCACACAGAAGGCCAGGGCCTCAGCCGCTCGCTCCAGCTTCACGTTCTGCTGCGCCTGACACGCCCGGCTCACGATGTCCACAACGCCACTGAGCGTGAAAAACCCATACATGGTGACGTGATACCAGTTGTCATAGAACACAAATGGCCGCCGAGGGTCCTCCCAGTCTACCATCATCATCCGGTTTACTCCTGGGGGGTAGAAGAACTCGGTTATGATGCCAGTCAGGGAGATGGCCACCTTCATCATCCCTTCCACAGGTACCAGCTGCCACCACCTGTGTCCTCGCTTCTCCTTTGGGGTCAGAGGGGGTTTGAGAAACCTCTGTCCCCGTAGCAGGGCCAAGGACACCATCACTGAGTAGTGGAGAGAAAAGATGAGGAGGCATATCCCCGGCAGCAAGTGTCCCTCGAGGGTCCCCATGGTCTCTGTGTGTATGTTGGGGCCAACAGAACAAGAGCTGGCAGATGAGAGGCAACCTCCCAGGGCTCTCCTCACAAGCGAGGTGGCTGCTTCCAAGCTGTGGTGAGATCTTTCTGATCCAGCTCCACCCCTGCCTCCCACACACAAAAAGGCCTATGTGTGTGCTGGAAGCATCTGAGCCACTCCCTGGGTGGGATCTCTCTTAGGTGGCACTTCACCTTGCTCTGTTCCTTACTTAGATGAGCCGGGCTTGGGCTTCCAACCTCTGCACCTCACTGCAGGAGCTAGTTTACCCTTTCTCTCCTCTCCAATCCTGCCCCACCCCTCCCCAAAGAGAGGGGAGGGAGAAAAGTAATAAGGGGCCCCAGCAAAGGGGTGGTGGTGGTGGATTTTCTTTTGTTGGCTGGCACCAAGTGACATCTCCTTTTCCTCATTTAAATACCTCAACAACTCTATGAGAGGGTTATTGTTAAACAAATTTTATAGGTGACATTAAGGCTCAGGGGGTGAAGGCACATACACAGGTATCACAGCCAGCATAGCAGAGCTGGGATGGGGACCCAGGTCTACTCATCTGCTGACAAAGTCCAGAATTTGTACATAACTAAGTGACTGAACTTCAGCTCCAACACTTGTAAGTTACATAACTATGGGCAGTTACTCTGTCTTCTTGAGCCTCAGTTTCCTGACCTGTAGAATGGGAATAATAATTATATCATAGGTTTATTGTATTAAATAGAATAAAGTATGTAGAGTGTCTGATACATAGTAAATAATAAATGGTAATGATTATTAGTAATTTTACTGTTATTACTAACATTCCTTGCTGAATTCCTATGATGCTGAAGTTGTTCAAGTATTCCTATAAATAATGCCAGAGCAAGAATCATTTAAAAAAGGTGAAGAACTTAATTATATTTAAAATTTTTTAAGTTTTTTTTTTTTTTTTTAATGTTAGCATGAGTGGGGAGAAGGGGCTCAGGGAGAGAGAGAGAGAGAGAGAGAGAGAGAGACAGAGAGAGAATCAGCAGCCTCCATGCTCAGCATAGAGACTGACATGGGGCTTGACCCATGACCCTGGGATCATGACCTGAGATGAAATCAAGAGTCAGATTCTCAACTGACTAAGACACCCAGGCACTCCATAAAAATTTTAAAGTTTTTTATTAATAGACATTAGACATTACAGGGGTGCCTGGGTGGCCCAGTCGGTTAAGCATCTGACTCTTGGTCTCAGCTGAGGTCTTGACCTCAGGGTTGTGAGTTCAAGCCCCACTTTGGGCTCTGCATCGGGCATGGAGCCTACTTAAGAAATTAAACATTACAATTGTTCTATATTAAAATTACTGTTAAACATTAATTCCAAAAGAAAAATCAACTTAAAATTGTACTCTATATGTGACAAAGTGTTAGACTCCTTATAATATAAAGAACTCTTACAAATCAAAAAGTTAAAAATGAACACCTCAGTAGGTAAAGGGGCAAAGGTCATAAGTGGCTAGTCATTCAAGGAAAACTGTAGGTGGCCAATAAATCTATAAAAGGTGGAGCGTCTCTGCAGCCTTAACAACACAGATAATGTGCATCCACTCCTCAATGCAAAATGGGAAAAGTGGTAAAGAATGATAAATGATAAGCTTTTTAAAAATGTTAAGGCTACTGCAATAGTAAATGGCTATCTAAAGTATTTTTTCCCATCCTAACAACACTGAATCCTGAGAGTTCAAAGTTTTTAGTACCAAAGGGAAGAACATGGCCACCAAAGGACACATTGATGATTTCATTGAACTGGAAGCTGAGGCAGTCACATGTATATTCAGGCTCCACAAGGCAAACAAGCAGAAAAGAAGGATGTGGTATTTGCTGTGGCAAGTGGTTCTGATTATCACAGGCACATAGAATTGCTGCCAAGTAAGGAGGTAGTTGGTGGTGGTGGGGGGTGGTGGCAGGAAGACGTGTAGATGAAAAACAGGTGCCTCACCAGGTTGCCTTCTTAGGTAAGTATCCAATGGTAGTTAAAGGAAGATACTTTCACAATCCTATGCAGGCAGGACCACTGAAGGCTCTTTGATTCATTTTTTTCATTCAACAATAATGTCAGACACTTGACACTTCCAGGTCCTGAGGATACAACAATGAAGAAGAGAGACAAGAAACAAATAAATATACAAGTAAACAAACAAAAAAATGGTAGAGGGTGATAAATAATAACCCCCCCCCCCAAAAAAAAAACCTTAAGGCTATTATAATAGTGAGTGAATCCCTCAGATTGAGCCAGCAAAGAAATAACACTTAAACCAAGATCAAACTGGCATTAGGGTCCAGCCATGTGATATCTGACTGAATGTTGGGGTCACTTTATCCCATAAAGACCAGAGGAGAAGGTGAATGAGACCAAAGACCCTGGTAAATACAACTCCTTATTGACAATGTTTCTGTCCTATTTCCAGTCTTTCCAGTTACATCCTTCTCTTCTTCAACGGTATCACATTCAGATAGTAAGGACATAAGTAATTTGTCCTCCTTATCTATATTTTCCTGCGTTTTACAGTGAGCAGGTATTTTTGTAATCAGAAACTATCTGCAAATTTGAAATCAATGATGCAGTTATTTAATTCATAGAGAAACAGCTTGGATATGAAGACATCAAAATGTGGCAATCTCTACATTCCAGTTTTATGGGGAATATTAATTTGTGTCTCCATCTCTTTTGTATTTTTCAAATGTTCTATGAGGCTTTAGTAATTTAATTTTATGGCAGAATTATCAACCTGAAATTTTTGTAAAAGCCTCAGTCATTAAAGCATTTCTTTATGTATATTTATGTGTATAATTATTTATATAGGCATATATGTAATATTGAATTTTTTAAATATTTTTGAAAGAGAAAGAGAGTACATAAACAGAGGAGGGGCAGAGAGAGAGGGGGATAGAGGATCCAAAGTGGGCTCTGTGCTGACCGTAGACAGCCTGATGAAGCCACTAATATTAACATCTTGTAAAGGCTGAAAAGCACAAAGGCAAGTTTAAAAAGTGATATAACAGGGCACCTGGGTGGCTCAGTTGGTTAAGCATCTGACTTTGGCTCAGGTCATGATCTCACAGTTTGTGACTTCGAGCCCTGCGTCAGGTTCCATGCTGACAGCTGGGAGCCTGGAGTCTGCCTCAGATTCTGTGTCTCCCTCTCTCTGCTCCTCCCCCCACTCATGCTCTCTCTCTCTCTCTTTTTCTCAAAAATTAATAAACATTTAAAAAATTTTAAAAAGTAATATGACAAAATGCCAACACAGAACAAGTGGGTTAACATTTTGTCATGTTTGCTTCCACGGTTTAGAAAAATGAACATTCAAACCCTTCCACTCTCATTCCCATACCGTCCTCCCTTCATCATGGGAACTGATATGATTTTGGTATGGATCTTCCCTGTTATTTTGTCATTTTATAAATGTTTGTGCCTATCCCTATCTTGTCTCTCTGTTTAAACCTGACCATTTTCTATGTATTTCTAGTTCTGAAGAAACCAGCAGCAGCAGAAGCTCTTCCTTGAACAAGGCACTGGTCATGCCTCAATTAGGACCCATGTAAGTGAAGTTCCTTTGAAATGAAGTCAGTGTGGTTAAATAAAAACGAGGAGATTCAAGAATCATGCAAAAATACAGTTGATGGGAACCATATGTCATAGTGGCCCTGTTCCAGCAAATAGGCAGGTAGACAGATATGTTGGTCCTAAGGGTAGTTAAAGGTAAACACTAACTTTTATCACCCCAACAAGTGACCATGGGTCCCTGGTGTGTCTGTCTCTTCTCATCTCCCAAGTGGACAGTTACTCATCATCTGCTACTCTCTGAGTCTTCCTGGCTTTCAAAAGGAGACAGTGTCTGATAATACTCACTTACATTTGTTGACTGATAGATTAATCTTTAGCAGATGAGTTTCAGTCACTGTGATATGTCAATCAGTCATTTAAAGCCCCTCATCTCCAGCTGAAGAAGGAAAATCCTTAGCTTTGCCCATGACTAAAGGAATTTTAGGCATCAGCCAGCAGGTGCTGAGATGTGTTTGCTATTCGGAGGGATTCCTGAAAGCAAATCTGATTTAGATCTTCTAGCCCAGTGGTTTTCAAGGCTGCCCTTTAGAATCACCAGGGAGCTTTTTTAAATGTTTGGGCCCGACCCTGGTATTCTGATTTAATTGGTCTGGGGTTCAGGTTTTAAAAATCTCCCCTGCAGACACAAAAGGACAAATACTGTAGAATTTCACTTATATGAGGTATCTAGAGTGGTCAAATTCATAGAGACAGAAAATAGAAAGGCAGTTGCCAGGAGCTCAGGGGAGAGGGGATTGGAGAGAGACTGTTTAACCAATATAGAGCCTCTCCATTTGGGAAGATGAAAGAGTTTTGGAGAAGGACGGTGGTGATGGCTGCACAACAGTGGGAATATACTCAATGCCACTGAACTGTGCACCTAAAAATAGTTAAAGTGATAAATGTTATGTACAATAAAAAGGTGAAAATTAAACTCCTTTCTGGTGATTGTAACTTGCGGTCAGGTTGAGGACCACCTTCTGCTATTTGGGGTTACTACTGACAGCTGAGTCCTGTCCTCTCAACCTGAGTGGGCTCCCTGCCTCTCCAGAAGGCTCAGCGGGGCGCTGCTCATGGTTTAACTGTTGCTGCTACTAGGGGCAAAGAACTTTCACTTTTCACTTTTCCTTTAAGATTTGGTCTATCTCCTGCCTGAGACTGGTCCTGGAAACACTCTCCATGCCTTCTGTATCTAACAGCAACATTTCCATGCAGGTGGCTAAATGGCAATCTCTATCAGCAAAGGTTTTATTCTCTGGTCCCTTCTAGTATCTGTGGCTAGAGCCTCCCTCCCCTCTCTTTTTCCAGACTTAGGCATTCCATGTTTGACTCAGCCCGTTATCTGACTCATGCAGGTATACATCACACAGGAATAATAAGCCTGTTAATGTCAAATTGGGATAACCATATGTCTATGGGGATGACAAGTTCTTCATATCTTCTCTAATGAAATGCTAATCTATTTTGGAACCCAGATGTCAGCAGAGGTCACTCTGTCTTTTGAAATGTATATGAATTTACTGAGGTCCTATCCCACACTCTGGGGGAAGTCCAACACTCTGTCTACAGCTCTTGAATGCTCTAGAGCTGGGGCTTTGCTCCTGACTGACTCAGAGGGTCTAGAGCTGCTCCGGCTGTGTTCATACTTGCAGATACCCTCTGTGGCAACTCCCTTTGCTCTGTTTTACACTTGACCCAGAGGGGAGACTCAGCCCCTTTTCGTCGATTCCCACCTCTACCCTTTGGAACACAAAACAAAACAAAAGAAAAATGTTTACAAAAGGCATTTATTTGTGAAGTAGGGTTTATTGTTTGTGGGAGGATGATGATGGCATATTACATCATCCCGAAGCAAAACTCTTGCTATTTTGGGTATTAGGTAATTTTGTTCTTAGAAGCCCTTCAGTAATATATGATTCTATTGCTATAATCCCCAAACTGGCAAAAGTAACCTGCGCTGTTAGAAGTCAGGATAGTGGTTAGCATGAGGGGGCTTCAGCAGTTCTGGCAAAATTCTTTTGTCTAGGTGCTGGTTATACAGGTGACTTGGGGGAAAGCTATGGATCTATATCCTTGTGATTTGGGTACTTCCTGTATTTGCGTTATGCTTTGGTAAAAATTTCACATTAAAAAATACAGAAGAAAGAAGGCCATCAGCTCCCTCATGCCCAAGCATGTTTCTAGACTCTCCCTCCATACAGACTTTCTGCAGGTGAGTATAGAGAATTCTCTCACCTACCCAGCCTCTGCCTCCCAGAGGGCAGTTTGGGATTTTGACCTGTTAACAGTGTTTTCAAAGAGGACCAAGGGACATGCTTTTTGACCTCCCAGAGAGGCCCAGAGTACCACTTGTATACATGAAACAGACAGACTGACAGATCCTGAAGCCATCAGAAGCTAAAAGCCCCAGGTAAACAAAGACGAGGCTCATGGGATAGATAGGAAGTCAAACTGTGGCCCTCAGGACACTTCAATCTGCCTACCAGTGGTCAATTCTGAGCCCAGATGCCCCATCCTGTGGTATGACCTCTGCCTTGAGCTTCTCGAGCTCTTCGCTGGGGCCCATGGGGCATGGTGGTAGCTGGTACCTACCCTTTGCTAGGAGGAGCAACTATGATGTCAGAGACTGCAGACAGTGCCAGCACGGAAGCCTTTAAGGTCAAGTGACAGTGGAAGGTAATGGGGAAGCCCAGGGTCTCCAGTGGCTGGAAGACACATCATCACACATCGTTGCAGTGGCCAGGTAGCTGACCAATAGGTTATGTCAGAGGCCACGGTCTTGGCTGCCCACCCCCGCTTCACGTGCTGCTGTGCTAGCCACACATGTTTCATTATAGCCACCACAGTCTCTGCAGGAAGAATGCTAAATACAGGGACTTGCTTGCCCCGGTGTGTGGCATAGGACCAGCTCCTCAGGCTCTTCCCAGTCCACCGTCACCATCTGCTTATCCTTGGAGAACAGAAGAACTTAGCAAGGATGTTATTAAGAAGGCAACAGCTCCCTCCACCTCTTCCACAGGTTCCTGCTCCCAGTACTTCTGCCCTCACATCTCCTGATAGGACATGGTACCAGTAGGGCAGGACACCAGCCCTGAGGAGAAGAGCCCAGGACTCTTCACATGGAATGAGTGCCTTTTCTATACTGCCAGGAACATGAGGACAGCCCAACAATGGCCGTACAGGTAGGTTCACCTCTCAGGTAGGTGCTCATAGGGGACAGAAGAAGGTGCCTAGACAACACCACTTTGCTCCCTGTACTTTCATTCATGCCTCTTTTGTGCCCAGGCATTAAGCTAATACATGAGAATTGTACACAGCATAACAACTATGTTCGTTATTATGACTGTGGTACCAATATACCAGGTTTCACCAGTCTGGGGCTACAAGTCCAGTCTGGTGAACATAAGTATCTACATTTTAATGACTCTTGGCCTTCACCTGTTCACAGAGGGTCTTAGAATCTCGCAGAATTTGACTTCAGTTCCTATGCTAAGGATGATTCTGGAATCTCGCTGCCCAAGAGTCAGTTCTGGCTACTGCTCTGTCACCATGTTGCTGGTCAGGTGCAGATGTACTGGCCATGCTGCTTTCTGGGCATTGTTTCTGTAGCTGCTGTCCTCAGCAGCCGCTGAAAAGCTGTAGCACCTGGGCTACACTACAACCTTCATGAATGTCCTCTCTTGACCTATGGTGTCGCCATCATTGTGGGAGTCCACTCTTGCTGCTGGCCGTGCTGGGTCTCTGGGGCTGGGGATCCACAGATAATGGCTTCAAGAGCTAGGAGGGTTCTGGTCTTGCTTGGTCTAGATTCAAGATCTCTACCAGTTCTTCCAAGGGAATTATGCTTGTGCCATGTGAGACAGAGACAGCTATTTATTCACTGGAGAGAGGGACCTCACAGGAAGATTCTTTGAGCTCTATAAGTCTCTAATGATCTGTGAGGCCACTCTCCTAGGTCCTCCACCCAGCCTATCTTCTAAGTACATACCTGCGGCTATAGTAGGCTGGGTTTGGGTCAGGTCAAGGACCAGCCTCTCTGTTTTTCTCAAACCAGTAAGTTACTTGGGCCCTCAGAGTTTGAAGATGAGTGGGGTTTGCATATGAGATGCCTTTGTCTGTTGTAGCAAACATTCTCTGTGATGCCGTATTGCTCCTTCCTACAATGGCTCTTGTCAGGGACCCTAGGGTATCAGCTATCTCTGTACCCTATTAACAAAGTTTAAGTTCTTGCTTTTCCAGACATACCTCAGGCCCACACAGTCCAGGGAACAGAGGAGGAGCTTAGTGGACACAGTTATTCTGTGTGGTTGCCCAGCATCTAAACCCCCTCCCTCTATCTAAGGAATTGTCCCACCTACTAGATATGCATGAGGCCGAGTTCAGCTCCCCACAAGGAGCTGGAAATGCCAGGTTGGTCCTTAGTGGCCTCTCTTGAAGTGGGCACAGTCCCCACCCACCTGCCCTAGACTCTGCCTTGGCTCTTAGCCCTCCAAATCATTCCTTTAATAATGCTCCTTTCTGCTAAAATCCACCAGAGATTGTTGATGATTGGAGGCTAAGAATCCTGTCTGAAGTGAAGAGTTTCATTTCTACCTGACCCTAGCTCCACCCTGTTAGATAAAAATGTGTTTGGTTGTCTATCTTCCTCCTTTCCCTACCCCTCCCTATCTGTTCCCCTTTCCTGCTGATCAGTAAGGAAAAAAACCAGCAACTTCAATAGAAAAATGGGCAAAGGACATGGACAGGCAAACGACAGAAGAGAAACACGAGAAGCTACTAAGGATATGACCAGATGCTCAAAATCACTGATAATCAGAGAAACCCAAATTAAAAGCTCTGTGAGATAGTGTTTATCTCACAGGTACCTGTTAGGCTGGCAACCATTCAAAAACCAGGTAATGCTGAGCTGGAGGGGATCTGGTGACATAGATATCAATCATGTATCGCTGATGGAAGTGTAGATAGGTACAGCCACTCTGGAAAGCAGTCTGGTTCTATTTGGTTGAGTCGAGTCCTACGTTTGCATGCCCCATGACCTAACAATCCTGCTCCTGGATGTACAACCCAGGGAAATCATCATACCAACACATAAGAGAACACTTATAAAGAAGTTCCTTGCAGCATATTTATATGGTGGCTGGTAATTAGAGGTAACTGAGTGTCCACTGCTGGGAGACTGGGGCCAGGGCACACGATAGGGTGTTACAGCGAGGTTAGATGTCTTGAGGTAGGTGTCACACAGCAACAGGGCAGAATGGTACAAGCACAGACAAGAGGAAACATAAGAAGATATATTGTATAATTGCTTTTCTGTAAACTTAAAAAATATATGCACGTAAATCAGCAATGCACATTTTGCAAGAACACATCCAAATAAAGATGAGCATTAATACAGTAAAAGAATGACCTGTAGAAAGAGGGGAATGAGAGTAGGGAAGTGGGATAAAAGAAGGCACATTAATTAATAAAATAACCAAAGGACTTTGTGCAGACCAAGAATAATAATGCGGCATGGACCGAGCAATAGGAGTAATTTGAGCCTCTTCAACCAAAGCAAACAAAATGAAACAGACAAAAACAACCACCACCACTAAAGAGCAAGCATGATGTGTATGTAAAATCTTGGTTACACAGGCAGAGGGTGATGTGGACTCCACAGCAGACACTGAGGGTGGGCCACGTGAGACAAGGCAGGGAAAGACCCTGTCCATGTTAGGAGAATCAGAGCAGGCTTCATCTGAGTAAATGTTACCTACCTAAGAACAGGCCTCTTTCCAGGTGGCCCATCAAAGAGGTCTGCTCACATCATAGAAGAACCTTTCCACCCCCTTATATGGACCTTGGGATCAAATGCATATTTGATTAACACACCAGAAGCACAGCACTTACATCAGTGATGCTCACATGTCCCGATGGATGGTCAGGGAGACATAAAGATGGCCTCCTGGCTGGGCCCAGAGTGCTCTAGTGGACCCAGAAGCATGTGCTAGGCCATCTCCAGTGGCTAATTGGAAATTGCTCTCCATATTATAATGCCTCCCCATAAAAAGTTCAAGTGTGCATGAATAAAAGGAAGGATCTAAGCTCAGCCAGGAAAGAAGTGGTACCAAGGGCATTAGCAATTCCCTGGCATCTGCTTCCTCTGACTAAGGGACAAACCACTCTCCCTCTAAAGAAATGATAGCAGTTAAAGGAGATCTCAAACCATCTTCTCAGTAATATTGAAGGCCTAACTAAAGGGGGAAAAAAGGAATTAATAGAGTAGAACTCTATTACCCTGGGGAGGTAAGAGTCTAAATGGGTGAGCTTTTGCTCCTTGTCTGGGAAAAGGCAGCTAACAGGCCAACCTTCTGGGGTGAGTAGGAGGGGCAATATTGCATTCCACAGTGTCCTGAAGACACTGACACTGTGAAGACACTGTCATTCCTCTAGAATGTAGAGCTGGAGGGACAGAGCTGGTGGTCACTGTCTACCAAGGTGGAAACCCTAGTCCAAGCCCATTCCCTGCTTATACAGAGAGCCCACCCTCTAGAATATTCTCAAGCCCTGTTCCTGGACTGAGTGCCCTCTGGTGCTGGCAAAAGAAAGGTAGATCCTCTCCGAAAGAAGATCCTAGGTCTCAAATTAATTTTCAAATAATCATTTCATTTAACATGTCCAGAAGGAACACAGGCACACAAGGCACGTGAGACAAAACAACATGTCTCAGAATCAACAGAAGCCATAAGCCATAGAAATAGACCCACCAGGATCTCAGATAGAGTTCCTAGGTACAACCTGTAATAGAATAATGCTTACTGTGTCAGGGAGATAAAAGCAGAATTTAAAGTTTTATATAAGGATATGGAAAAATTTAAAGCCACACTGCTGATTTAAAAAAAAATCAATTAGACATTATAGAACTAAAAAGTGCAAACATCATGGGGCACCTGGGTGGCTCAGTCAGCTGAGCATCTGACTTTGGCTTAGGTCATGATCTCAGAGAGTTTGAGCCCCGCGTAGGGCTCTGTGCTGACAGCTTAGAGCCTGGAGCCTGCTTCAGATTCTGTGTGTGTGTGTGTGTCTCTGTTCCTTCCCCACTCACATTCTGTCTTTCTCTTTCTCTCAAAAATAAATAAAGCTTAAAAAAATTTTTAAGTGCAATAATCCAATTAAGAACTCAATAAAGGGTTTAATAACATAGTGGAAAGGAAGGTAAGTCAGAAGAAATCATCAAGAATGAACCACAGTAAGACAGAAAAATGGAAAATACAAAAGAGATGATAAAAGAAGATACAGAAAACCTGATACATGTTTCATTGGAGATCTGGAAGCAGGGGAGACAGAGAATGGAGGGGAGGGAACATCTGAGGAGATAAAGGTTGGAAATTTTCCAGAATTGATGAAATAAGCCAATTCTCTGATTCAAAAAAGCCAAAGGAGAGACTGCCACAGGAAATAGAAATCTCAAAGAACCAGGCATTGGTTAGGCCAAGAATTCCCGCTTGGGAAGTTCTCCCTCCAGGACAAGGTGTGAGAGTACTTGAGGGAGCTGGTGGATTTCTTTATGGAGGTGTTCTTGTTAGTTTGTTTTTGAAGATGGGAGAGATTTGACCTTGTTTATAAGCTGAGGGAAGAAACCAGCTGAGAGTGACAGATTGAAAATACAGAAGAGGGGCGCCTGGGTGGCTTAGTCAGTTAAGTGTCCAACTTCGGCTTAGGTCATGATCTCAAGGTTCATGGGTTCAAGCCCCGCATCAGGCTCAGTGCTGACAGCTCAGAGCCTGGAGCCTGCTTCTGTGGCTCCCCCTCTCTCTGCCCCTCCCCCACTTGCACTCTGTCTCTCAGTCTTGGGGCGAGTGGGAAATGAAACAACAACAACAACAACAACACAGGAGAAGAGAGGTAATACATGAAGACATTTTTTAGAGGAACAGGGATCCATACTGTGAATAATTTATAATTATAATACCTATAATACCTATAAATTTATTAAGCACTACATGTCAGAATTTGTTTCAGGAAGTTAAAATCCTTAACCGCTAGTAATTGTATTTGGACATCACCGATACATGCTAATTGATGCTCAGAAAGTTCAAAGAAAAAAAAAAAACCCACAACAACTTGGTTGTAAAGTATGGCTAGTAAATGCGGGCACTAAGATCCCAATCAGATCTGATCTACCCCAAAGTCCTTGTCCTTTCTACTCCACCAGGCTGCTCTCAGAGCTCCAGCTGACCTCAAAAAGGCCTTTCGTTGGGCTGAGATGGGATAGAAGGAGGAGAGGATGACCATAGAGGTGCAGCTGTTTGGAGAATAT